CTTCTTGCTTACTTTCCTAAAAATAATTATGATCGATCTGAAAATTTTTGGCAAACAAAAATTAATCTTGCTCATTTAATTATTCATATTTTACTTCAACAATGTTCTTCATTACATCAATTAATAAATAATACAATTGTTCAATTTGCATCAGAACTTTTTAGTAAATTTTTTTTAATAAACAAAAAAAACAAATCATTGAGTGCTTTTGTTTTCTTTTTTTACTGCAGGTATTCTTACTTTACCATTACAAACAATAATTAATGGTTCGATTAGTGTTGCTATTTCTATAATATTACAATTATTATCATTATCAATAGCACAATGTACACTTGATCAAGAAAAAGAAATATGGAAAAATTTTTTTGATCAATCGTCAAATAAAAATGGAATAAAAATTTTTAATCATTTATTATTAATTTATGAAAATCGACTTAATACAGAATCAAATGATACATTGAAATTAACTGTATCAAATATGATAAAATCATTATTAAATATTAGTATAACAGCTAAACAAGAAGCAATTGAAAGTAAGAAAAGAAATTCAATATTGAGTTTTTTTTTCTGTCACGAATAATTTTATTTTTATAGAAGGTTTTATTGAATCACAAATAGATCATCTTAAACGTATTCAAACAAAATTAACACTTTTCTCATTACAATCTGATAAATGTGTGAGTAAAGTAAGTAAACTCTTATTTTAAATGAATGATTTTATTATGGAGATTTTTATTTTAGGATGATATGCTAATTGATGAATGTGTTCAAGTGTTATCTATTCTTAACAATTTATCATTCGATTGTTCATCTGCTAAAGTAAATTTTTATTTAATATCATCATCAAATGATTTTCTTTTTGTTGTCGATTTTATTTAGGATATTCTTTCTTCAAGTGGTTTAATTTCATTTCTTCATCAACTTTGGTGTTGGGCTATTGTCGATGTTCAATTATTAAATGTTCTTCTTCTTCTTCTGACAACACTTACTGCAAAACATCGAAAAGGTTCGTTATAATTTTAACATATACGCAAGAAGTATTCGAAATAATATCCGACGTTTGCACTTGTACTGAACTCACAAGGACATCTTGATGAAACTAATAAAGTCTAAAATGATTCATCTGTATGAATCTTCATAGGAGAGTTATAATTTTTTTCTACTCAATTGTCGATCCGTTCACATGTATATGTAGAAAGATAAGAAAACGAAATTTGGATGTAAAATTGGGTCTATAAATAGATTTAAATCTCTCTATATAATATTCTAAAAGTTTCAATGGAAAAGAATGTTCCTTTGTTAGTATATGTCTAACATGCGGTTGAAAATTCAGCAAAACGATCATAGCTAGGGATGGGCAATTGCAAATCACAAAAATAGTGGAATCGACAGCATTTTCACGAAAGATAATAGAGTTTTTCTTTATCTTCTTACGAATGGTTAATTTAACCATTTAGATATTTAAATAATATTGTAAGAAAAAAACACTATTTCTTTTCAAAAGAAAAGATACATTCCAATCGAAGAATACATATGTATTAATTTACAATTATTTGATTAGTCGCATTTACGAAACTTTAACAAAGTACTCATTATGAAAATTTGGTTCATTATGTCCTTGTGATATCTATTCATTTTTAATTCACTGCTACACGTCGGTGATGTTGTATTCGTAATTTGGAATGGCCCATTCCACATCCAAAGAATGTGGATTCTGCCCATGTCTAATTATAGTTCTGCTTTAGAGACTCATGAGGACGAATCCTTTTAGACTTTTGCCAGTCTCACTGAGATGTTTTTGTCGGTCCAATATGAATTGAAATTGTGAATATCAGTTTGAGTAGTTTTCTACTCCTTTTTTATATTTATGTTTATCTATAGGTTGTGTTAGTGTGTGTAGTACAGTTCTTCCATCAACGAATTCATTTGTTGTTCAAACACCTGATCAACAACGTCCATTATCAAATTTACTTTCTTACGTTCTTCGTCTTATAACAAAAGCATCATTATCATCTGTAGCTAATAATAATAGTTCTTCTAGCAAAAATCAAACAATTGAAATGGCATTTGATGTAGTACAAAATTGTTCGCTTGAAATTGAAGGACGAAGTATTGTGTATAAATCAAATTTTTTTCAATTATTTATTGATCATTTTGAGCGCGTATCACGTGATATTAATCGATATGATCGACGTTTTCTTGATGTTATTATTAATATATCATTTTTTACCGACGGACAAACTAGTTTGCTTAAAAGTCCTGGTAAAAATAAAAAATTATTATGCTTTTGTTTTGGCTAAATTTTGCAATTTATCTTTAGAAATGTTTGCCATTATTATTCGTCTTGCTCAATCGTCATCATCTGCTATTTTACAACGTCATGCTCTGTTGATTCTTCGAAATTTAGCCTTTTCTTCTACTCACAAAGCTAGAATTGTAGCTGAACGTAAGCTTCTTTTAAAAGAATCCATACTAAGATGTCGTACTATATGTGTGGATTAACATTGAATAAGGAAGTCTTGAGTTCGCGTCCATCAACATTTGAAATAAGAACTAAATATTCATTTTTATTTTTGAGATATGATCAACGAAAATATTTTTCTTCTATAATATTTGAAGTGAATTTCGAATACATCAGTTAGATAAACAGATTTTGACATTTGATATTTCTTGTTCTATTTTGTTGATAGACATTTTATTCGATTTTAGCTAAATATATTCCAACGATAATGACCCATGTTGTCTCAAAAACGTCAGATACTGCTTATATTGGACTAACTGCTTTGTGGGCACTGATTGTTGATGCTCAAAAAGTAAATAATTTGCATCTGTTTATTTAGTAAAATTTTTTAATTGTTATCTTTTATTTTTAAAGGGTAAAGTAGCTGTTCGAAGTAATAATGTATTACCAGCTTTGTTCGATGTTAAAACTCAACAACGCAACAAAGAAAATCTTTTATGCTATCATGCTGTATCAAATATTATTCAATTATTAACAGAAGATTAAATCTTTTTTTGTGTTTATACATTTAATGATTGTAGTTTATTAATAAATCTTTGGATAGATGAATTATTTCTACGTTTAGAAGTAGAAAGAAAATGAAATAATGTGATACTTTTATTTATCCTGATTAAGTTTTAGACATTAGCAATAATCTGTGATAGTTTTTCTTCATAGCTGCAAAACTAATGGAATTATCTATAGCAGCTTAATTAAAATTGAATAATACTATAACCTAAGGTAATAATTTGACAGCTTAGTTGAAAGTTATTTATAAAAATATTACAGCATTCTATTTCGGATTTCATTGTCTCAATAATTATCTCAAGAGTCTTCAGTTTACCGATCAGGCATACTTTAAAATTTTGAGAATCTCCAAGATGATCGATGATACTACAAACATAAAAACCAAAAGTAGACGAATCTTTAAAAAACATTGTCAACTAAACCGAGATGTATTTTGATTTCTAGCTCTGTTCAGGCGCGATTCAAAATAACATTTTGCCTCGACGCGTTTATACCGAAAAAAACAGGTTTTCTTAGTATCAGATTCAATGACATGCAGTAGAATAAATTGGCTTAATAGTGATGGGAGCATGAGGTTGACGAAATTTTGTTTTTCAATGTATCGGAACATGATGTGAACTATAAACTGGTTAAAGGCAATTATGATTTACAAGCTTGGCAAAATTAGTTAAAAATGGGTACTGAAAATAAGCAATAGACACAAGAAGTCGTTCAAAAAATCAAACAAACGTAATGATGTTAGAAATAGTCGTTCTTTTAAAAAGAAAGTTAATCAATTATTATCCACAATTGTTCAAGCTAGTGCAACTATTTCCGATTTACAAATAAATACGATTGGATACTTATTGGTCACAAATGCCAACGCACAATAAAAGCTAGCAAAACGTACACAGCAACGATAATTGAAGATACAGTTCAACATTCTGTGCTAATAACAACAATCACAGCAATGACAATCATATTATTTGCCATTTAATAGTATTTATTCAGCGCAAATGAAAAAGAATTTATCTCCATAAAAGAAAAAGTACCAGTCGACTATGAAAACAAATATAATATTCGTTCATTTTACATATTGTTCAAGTATGAGAACATCCATAGCTAAATTTCATGCGCCCAAGAATAAGTATTTTTGTACATCGCCGATAAATAATATAGTATTAGTATTGAGTACACGGACTGTCAATAATCTTCAAATATGGTTACTACAGACTAGATTGGGAAGAACTGATTCGTAGTTATCTAATCGTTTATGATTCTTTGGCAAACTTATTGATTATATTGAATTACTTGAAATTTGTTAACTATAAACTTCGACGATCTTAATATTGATTATGAATTTAGAAGTCATCTAATGAAAAATATCAATGCTACTTATCGATTTTACCAAAGATAAATTTAGTTATTATTTATTGGAAAATTCAAATATTGCTTATTAATTATAATACAAAGGACAAACCAAGTCCATTTTATGAATGATCAATTAAAAAATATGTATTTGTACAAAATATCATAGACATTTATACATTAAATGGTTTCAAATCTTTGAGATAGGTCATAAAAACTGATTAAGATTTACCAATTATCAATTTCATTATAAAAATAATCTTATTTGAGATTTGATTAAAATATGAACAAATATTGTCCAATTCAAATTTTTGATTCTTGTAAAATCCACAATGTACTTTCAAAAACCAGAAATAATACCAACCAACTTATGGCGACATTAAACAATTGTCTGGTACTTGTTTCAAAAAAGAAAAATTGCCACACCCTTTTTTTCGTTTTCTTTTACTTATATCGGTTTCCTTTTTATTTTGTAACGCTTCCGAATTTTGCTTTGTTGCTTATGCGTAAAAATTTGATGAATAGCCCTGGGCACTAAGCTATATCAATAATAGCAGTTTTATTATATGCGAAATGTAGTGAGTGAGAAAATCAGAGCAGCTAGTAAAAATAAAATGAGTTCAAGTTAAGGAGTACAACAAAAACAAGTGTTCAAAAGAATACCAACACTGTTAGCACCATAATTGGCGACAGCAATATCTAGCCGAGTGTCATTGTTCAAATCACCAATTGCGATTGTGTTCGGATTATTGCCAGTTGAAAATGTTGTTTGAGCTGCAAAACTTCCATTGCCATGTCCAAGAAAAACACCGACAGTAGCACTGCCATAATTTGCAACAATGATATCTAATAGATTATCGTTGTTCAAATCGCCGACTTTGACTGATTGTGGATTATTGCTGGTTGAAAACGTTGTCTGAGCTGCAAAATCTCCATTATCATATCCAAGAAGGACACTTATAGTATTATCGGGTCCATTGGTGACAACGATATCCAGTCGACTGTCGTTGTTGAAATCACCGATGGCGATCCAGTTCGGATTACTGCCCGTTGGAAAAGTCGTTTGAGCAGCAAAAGTTCCATTCCCATACCCAATAAAAATACCCACACAGTTACTACCAAAGTTTGCGACAGCGATATCTTGTCGATTATCGTTGTTGAAATCACCGACAACGAGCGAGTATGGAGAAGTACCAGTTGGAAACGTCGTTTGATCTGCAAAAGATCCATTCCCATATCCCAGAAAGACACCCATATTGTTACTGGCATGATTAGCGACAGCGATATCCAATTGGTTGTCGTTGTTGAAATCTCCGACAGCGATAGCCCACGGATCTTTGCCAGCCAAAAGCTCCGTTTGTGCTGCAAATGATCCATTTCCATATCCAATAAGGATACCCACATTATTTTCAGCACCATTGGCGACAGCGATATCCAATTGATTATCGTTGTTGAAATCTGCAACGGTGACCGACCATGGATTTATGCCGGTTGGAAACATCATTGGTGCTGCAAGTGTTCCATTTCCATAACCAAGAAAGACACCCGTATTGTTACCGCGATAAAGGGCGACGGCAACATCCGATCGATTGTCGTTGTTGAAATCTCCAATGACAATCGAGTCAGGAGGACGAAGGCCAGTTCGATATGACAACATTGGTGAAAATGTAAAATTACACATTGGAACTAAAAAAGAGCAGAGAAGTGCAATGAAGAATGCGGACGTATTCTCTTGATACCAAAAAATGCTATTCATCGTCATCAGGGTTGCTAGTTTGACGTTGTTTTGTGAAAAACTTCCGTATTTCTGCTTTTCTACTGTTTCTCTTTTTCTCTTGCTTTCGTATAAGAAAATTTCATTTTTAAGAGTTTTTTTGCATTTCAAAATATGATAATATATCTCTCAATGTCAAACAGCCAGTGATCACTCGCTGCGGCTATCTATTGTTGTTGTTCTTAGGAGTGAAAAATCATCGAAGAACATTATATTTTAACTATTGTAACTGTGAGCATTGATGTCAAACAGCATTTCACTTTTTCCGCTTTTTTCATCTATGAAGGCAGGAATCGTGATCTTCATATCGAGTATAGGATGGCATTGCTTACCTGAAGGCTTCGTAGTAAACGATTGTCTGCTTCTACTTCGGCTACCCAAAACTGCTGCCAAGATGATCGTCATAATGATGATTGCTGCTGCTATGCCAAAACCGATATACATTCGTTTATGAGCATACCAACAACTACGACAAAAAAAAACATCGATAGTGTATACTAAATTTTGATCTTTCAGATAACTTTATTTGCCTATATTCATCTTTCTCGAGAAATTCGATAATTACAGTATATAAACTATAGTCTGTTTAAAAAGTCCATGCGTGTGACTGTTTTTTGAATAACTCGAGAAAGCAAACAGCTAGAGATCTGCGGTTTTCACTAATCGAAAGAGGAGGAGTTAGGGCGTCTTTCTCTTTGATAATGTGTCGGACAAAATTCTTTTAAAACTGATCATCTTTGAAAAATATAGAAAAGAATGCATGAAAGTGACATACAATACACATGAGGTTTCGATTATGACCTTTGATTTAGATAGAGGGACTTCAGACCTATAGTTCAAAACATAATACACTTTCTTACGTTTCATTACATTTTCACCGAAGTTTCCAGCTGTTATGGCAAAAAATGCAAAAAGATAGTAAAACATCAGCAAAATTCCTTATTATTTGTGCATGTAAATACATGATTTCATTTGGTCAACGTTAGAATGCAATTAGAGAGCCATTTTGGTTGCATCTTGAACTATAGGTCTGAAGTTCCTCTATCTAAATCAAAGATCATAATCGAAACTTCATGTGTATAGTATGTCACTTTCATGCATTCTTTTCTATATTTTTCAAAGATGATCAGTTTTAAAAGAATTTCGTCTGACGCATTATCAGAGAGAAAGACCCCCTAACTCCTTCTCTTTCGATTGGTGAAAACCGCAGGTCTCTAACTGTTTGCTTTCTCAAGTTATTCAAAAAACAGTCACACGCACGGACTTTTTAAACAGACTATAGGTGTCTGTAAGATTTGTTTTGCAAAATCATCTGATTTAAATGTAAGAACTACCTCTTCCCAAAAATACCACGTTAGCCTTATCTCGGAAGCCGCCGTTCTCTGAATTAGAAAGTCAATTTAGAATAGCAGTAATATTATAGGTACAGAAAGGATTTCTCTAGCAGTTCCAAGAACACTGAGAGCTTTATAGCTACATAGTTCTACATTGTGTATCTAGAAACTAAAAAAGTAGAAAAAAAGACATATATTGCCTGAAATTTTATGCTAATGTGTATTGTGATGAGCTTTTTATTCGGTGACTTCTAGATTCAAAACGACACAATTTTTTCTGGTCTATCGGAATATGAACTTGGACTACAAAAAGAAACTTTGCCGAACTAAACCAACATTGAAAAAATAAAGCACATAGAATACGACTATTTTCAACTGTTCTATATAGTTCATTAGTCAAATCAGTTTTTTTCATAGTAAATCCTTTCAATATAGATTGATATTTATTTTCTCTTAATTGAAAATGATGCTTTCGGATAATTGACAGACTCTTGCAAATAGCTCTAGAGAAGTCTTCGGGAAAGCTTGAGGAGATTCTATCAAGAAATTCTTTTAAAAAGAAGTTTTTTTTCGTAGTCCAAGTCAGAGACCGAAACGAGTCAAAAAAATTCAACTCTACTCGACTCGACTCGACTGAACCATGCAATCGACTCGGCTCGACTCGACATGCATCTAAAAAACATCTGACTCGGCTCGACTCGACTCGACTCGAGCCGAGTCGAGTCGAGCCGCCGAGTATCGATTCAAAATCGAATGTTTAGAAGTACATTCTTAATATCAAGAATGAGAAGAAATTTAGACACACATTTCACTTGTATCATAGTGTTGAAACATCCATGTCGGACCACACGAAAAGGAAACCATCAGCTTCAGGAAATTGCGACAATTTCTTGAAAGCAGTATTTGAGACTTGGAGATCTCAGATTTTTTTTCTGTGTCTTCCCATTAAAATCCTGTCTTTGTCGCTCAAAGATGGTCGGAAGTCATCGAAACAGTCCTTCGCTCTCTCCACTTGATGTACTGCTTCGATTTTCTATCGATTTTCGGAGGTTCTCTGCCAGAAACAGAAATTTTATACAAGTTTTCTACTCGGTTTCAGAGCTTGGAATTATCGTCTCGAATAATTCTGAATCATTTTCTTGCGCGATTTCGGCAATACTGCAGGGCGATTTCTTCTCCCCATGAATGTTCCAAGACTATTCGAAACGGTCCTATTGGATGGAATGGTTAACATATTTCATCGATTTCAATATTCTAAATATGACCAAATATTTGATCATATAAACATCCATTCTGTTTTGATCATCTTTTTATGATAGATAATGAAAAAATGCAATACACTACTAAATCTGTTGCACGTCGTATGCCGATCACTTACATAGGCTGACGATCGATCAAGTCATTGCATTCTAATTAATCTTTGAACAGTCAATAATGCATTGAATACAATGAAAGCTAGTGTATATCATTCATTGTAGTTTATTTAGCATCGTCAGTTCATCGCTGTCTATTCATTTTAATGCTTTGTTCAACCTATTCATTGAAATGAATTGACATTGTCTCATCTCGGTTCGTCTAACGATGACGATGACTAATATTGAGAAACAAATGATAGAATTATGAAGAAATTTTAAAAAAGTCGAATCGTTGGGGTCAAATTCGACTCGACTCGACTCGACAGTAGATCTGACTGGACTCGACTCGACTCGACACATTTCTCAAACTTCGCACTCGGGCTCGACTCGACTCGGCGTGAACCGAGTCGAGTCGAGTCGATTTGTCGAGTACTCGACTCGTTTTCGGTCTCTGGTCCAAGTGCATATTCCGAGAGACCAGGAAATATTGTGTCGTTTTGAATCTAGAAGTCACCGAATAAAAAGCTCATTACTACAAATATTAGCATAAATTGCACGCAATATATGCCTTTTCTACTTTTTTAGTTTCTAGATATCCAAGGTAGAACTATGTAGCTATCAACCTTTCAGTCTTCCTGAAACTGCTAGAGCAATTATTTCTGTATATATAATATTATTGCTATTCTAAATTGACTTTCAGATACAGAGAACGGCGGCTTCCGAAATAAGGCAAAAATGGTCTTTGTGGGAAGAGGCAATTACTTCATGGAATGAACATTCTCGCCCATCTATTCGAATTCAAAAACTGCGAAAAATACATTTTGAACTTTTACGATCATGATATAGTCTGAAACGTCCTCTAACCGATGAACACATTTTGGGAACTAAATGTTTCTTTTACAAATTTTTGAGCGACTAAAGATCAGTGCTTTGAAAACTCACAAAAACTACTTTCGATTCTGTCAGAAATGTCTGTCCTGATTTGTTCTACAGAATGGAGGTTCATTTTTTCCCCTATGTATTTTAAAAATGAATCCTTCATAGTTAAAACATTCGAGAGGGTTTGAAAACTAAGCAAAAAATAATGCGATCCCTCCCCTTTTCTTTTCCTGTTTTCTCGAAATCATATTCAAAGAAAAAGAATCGAACTATCCCCACTTTTGTTTACCCGTATTGCAACCATTCGGGCAGAAATTTTTCTGCGCAACATTGGCCCAAACCCGAGTGACTTTATTTTGTTAAATAGTATAGTACTGCTGTAAATAATCAGTTGTTAGTATATTCAGACCATGTAAAAGATCATAGCTTTTTATAGTAATGTTTTGAGAACTTGAACTATCCTAAACTAAAAGCATGATAATTTTTCATGAGTGAAAAAAGCTTTTAGCGTGATCTCTCCATAATTAAAATGTGAAAATCGATGAATCTGTTCTATGTGTAAACGAGAAGCTTATCTACCCAGATTGTATTATATTTGAGAATGAGATACACTAACATATTAGGTTGTTCTGAAACTTCGTGCAGCTCATATACTGTAAAACCGTAGAATAATAACTACTAAATTCATTGAATGCACTGATATTTACTAACAATCACAAGCCACCAACGATCAAGGAAACTTTGTGTGCTTTAAAATAACTTCGGATCATGGTTATTGAAGTATTCGTCAACAGTAGTTATAGTTATTCATCGGAGTCAAACCTCTAACCACGATGAAATTTCTTCAAATATGAGAGCACGCGGTACTCAGTCAGTGTAATATAGAGAGAATCGACCGAATGATTTGATTCAATAAAGCCAACCTTGCAAATAGCAGTTTTCATAAACTTAGACTCGTGAATGGATGCTTTATTTTAAACAAGCAGCATCCATCATTGATTTTTTCTCAACATTTCTCTAGAATGTCAGAACACAGTCTCTCGATGAGTTATGCGTCATAGGACCGTTGATCGTTTTCCCATGAACCAAATAGTCGAGAAGCAGAACATTATCTTTCTGCCACAAGATGGTCATCTTAGTTTTTCCAGCTGAACGCTACTGATGGGATCGAGTTGGTTTCTAATGGTAATGAATAGTCGAAATGTGATTTCGTTAAGAGACATTTTTCCTGTAAAAAAGAATTTTATGCTATTCAAATTTTCTTGTCTTCAATCTTTGACTTGTTATCTATTCAACAAGATTTTTACAAATTTTCTCAATTCTTTGCACAGTACAAAAA